GGCAGCCCAGCGGGAGTTCCAGTTCTCCACTGTTCCAGAACCTCTTCCTCCCACTGGGCTGCCCTCCAACCCTCCCACACCACCCAGCCCAGGAACCCTTCCAGGCAGGAGTGCTCTGCCCCCCAGGTGCAACCCCGGCCTGTGGGGCAGCGCTGGGACACGACCACCCGTCTGGAGGAGGCCTGGCGGCGATCAGCCAGGGGGCCGGTCGAGGACAAGCCGTCCTACCCACGTGCCTTTGGCGGTGGCTGAATGTGAAGGCTGGGTAATCCCCGTGCGGTGACAGCGGGTGTGGGCACTTGGAGGGTTTATGGTTTCAGAATAAGGAACCTGCCAGGGCCTTGGATTTCCCAACACACCTTGCTGTGGTCAGAGCCCACCCAGACCCCTTTGGTTCTGATCCGAATCCCTCACCGATTCTTGTGCCAAATTCACCTCTTCATTTCTTGTTTCGGCTTCAAGTGTTGGTGCCATAAGCCTACCGAGGCAGAACGCTGGAAGCCGGATCCAGCGTGGGCGGGGCACCCAGGAGCTGTGTGACCAAACCCACACACGCTCACACCGACTCCCACGCTCACACCAACTCCACACATGCACACCAGCTCTGCACACTCACATGCTCACACCGACCCCACACGCTCACACACTTACACCAACTCCACACACACCAACCCCCCACGCTCACATCAACACCCCCCCCCCCCGCGCTCACACCAACTTGACACTCTGGCACTCACGCCAGCCCTGACACACACTCACACTGACTTTACCCACTCACACACACCAACCCTCACAGTCACACACTCACCCCAGCCCCACACACACTACACCAACTTGACACTCTGACACGCACTCACACCAGCCTCCACACTCACGCCCACACTGACCCTACACACACACACACACCCACCAGCGTTGGGACGGAAGCCTATCTGAGTTGGGCCGTGTGCCCGGCTGTGCAAGAGGGGCAGGGGCAGCCTCACCCGTGGTGGCGAGTGCTGGCCTGTGTCCTCGGCCCCACCGGGTGGCGGCATGGCCCACTTCAAGACCGGCTCCTTTCAAAGCAGCGTGGTTCCGACAGGCTGCTGTAAGTGGGTCAGCCTGCATACGCACCTTGGCCTCAGACTCTTCAGAACTTGGCTGCTAAACATCTGCATCCTGCTTTCATGAGCTTGTAAGCCATGGCCACGTGGGCCGGCCTAGTCTTCTGAAGCAGCAGGTGTGCCCAGAGGCTAATAAACAGCAGATGCCTCCAATAAAGGGGAGTTTGGTACTCGGTGTGAAGGTGGGTGCAAACAGGTATGTGGAACAAAAGGCAGGTGCTGAATTCTACATACAAGTTACACAGTTTCTTAAACCGTAGTGTGATTGTGTATATAGTGTGCGTATTACACGTACGGGATGTGTGTACAGTGTGTGGGGCGTGTGTTTTGGTGGACATGTATGGTGTGTGGTAAGGAGTGTGTGTGTGTATGACAAAACCAATGACATATTTGCAGGGCTCAGTGCAGAATGAAAGCGTGGGGCCTTGTTCAGAACTGTCAGGCATTTCGGCCTAGCTCATACCTGTCATCCCAGCACTTAGGGAGGTGGCGGTAAGAGGGTTGCTTGAGCCAGGAGTTCAGGAACAGCCTAGGTATCATGGCGAGACCTTGTCTTTACAATAAAATAAAACGTGGCACACACCTGTAGTCCCAGCTACTTGGAAGGCTGAGGTATAAGGATCACCTGAGCCAAGTAGGTTGCGGTTGCAGTAGCTGTGAGCATGCCACAGCACTCCAGCCTTGGTGACAGTGGGACTCTCACTCAAACAAACAAACAAAAAACTGTCAGACATTTCAAGGCAGCAATGGAAGAGCGTCAGATCAAGCTGAGGCCTTTCTGAGCGTGGAGAGTCACAGGCCCGTGAAACTGGCCCTGGTTGGAGAGAGCGCATCTTCTTGTCTCCCTTCAAGCTTCCCATGCGCCGGAAGGTCCTTGGGTCCCCTTTGCCCTTGCTCCATGTGCCCCCCAGAGTAGCCTTGACCTCAGCGGTGTGGGGAATCGACTGAGGCGGCCTGACGTGGAGCTGTGGGGCCTGTGCGTTGCGAGGGCTTGTCCCGCCCCTTCCCGACCCTTCTCCTCTTCCAGGCAGGGCCTCGCTAGGGGCACCACAGTCTGTCAGGTGCCTCCTATCTTTGGCTTCTTGCTCAAAAAATGACCTCCTCAGAAGACTGGGTCTGCTCCCAGCCCCGCATGCCCACCCTGCATGGTGGGGCCCTGCCCCGCACCCTTCGGGACTGACAGGACTTCAGGCTCCTCTCCAAGTCCCCCCTGTGTCCCCACCAGTCAGCAGGAACAGACTGGAGCGCACGGGGCATTCCCACTGCCCCCCGAAGGCCCACGGATGGGCCTCGTCCTGGGCTTGTATCGATTTGCCAACTCCTGAGGAGAGGCGGCCGAGGGAACCAGGGTGCGGAAGCAGAACTGGGCCGGCCGAGCTCGCGTGGTCCAGAACTCCCAGGAGGGGGGCGTGGAGGGTGGGGATTCCCTAAGTCCTTCCTGTTTATTGTCCTGCTTTGCTCCTCTGAGGTTAAGTACGGTGTGCCTGCTTCTGAGCACACTCAGGAGATGCTAATGGGTAATAATGAGGGTGTTCCGCCCCAATACCTACCTATACCTGTCAATAATTAGCCGCCATTTCCTAGGTTCTGGGAGGAGCCCGTGGCACCTGGCCTGCTCTAGCTGGCTTAGCTCATCAGGACACCATGAGCGCAGCCACTCCAAGGTCCCTGAGTGCTTCCGGGGTGTTCTAGGTTCAGGTATCTTCCAAGGGTTAAGGGAACCTGAGGACTTACCGTCCCTAGCCAGAGATAGACCGGACCAAAGGCTGACCCTGGCCCCTTCCAGCTACCATGGTAACCACGAGACCCTCTGTGCTTGTCATGGAGGTCCCAGATGGAACTGTGTGGTCGAGCCCCCGTAGAGCGGTGTGATGATGATAAACTGGTTTTCCAGAGGAGGGGGGAAGTCCTAATTTAGTATTTGCCAATTTCGCTGGTGTTAATATTCCCACCAAGTCTGATTTCCAGTGCCAATTCGTTTAGCCACTGGCTGCCAAACTTCCTGAATATTGAACAAGCAGCTCTTGCCAAACAAGAACACTGACCCCAGCGCCCAGGGTCTGCCTCTCGGAGCCCAGCATTCTGCTTCCCTGTCTTTGCAACTTGCCTTTATCCAGCAACTGGATAGCCTGGGACCTGCAGCCATCTAAAGGCCCTGGGGGCTTCAGAGTGCTGAGATCAGGCACTAGTCTGCCTCACATGCCGTCATGATGTTCGCAGAGGGGGTGGATGTGGAACGACCTTGCCAACGTGAGCGCCAAACCCCATGCAATGAAGTCCCACCTGTTTCTAGTCTGGGAGAGAGCTGATTGCAACGTCTGCGTAGCACTGTGGTTGGAAAGGCCAGTTTGGGGCACCGGGCAGTTTCTGCTTGTCAGCTGACAAGCCACCCTGCCTCTTGCTTCCTCACTCATCTCCACTTTCAGGGGACCAGGTGTATGGAGCATAAATACCAGCAAGCGGGGGAACCCCTGGGTCAGTTCCTTGGGCTGTGGGACAACACCCACCCAGGGGCTGGGGTTTCTCCACAAAAGCTCACCTGCGGAAGGAACTTCCTGCTCTTGTGTGTGGCTGAGCCATTTCTCTGGATGGAGGTTTTTCACTGTGCAATCTTCTCAGGGAGACACCTGCCCTCAACTCCTTCCCGTCAACTCCTGTGGGCTCCTGGAATGCCACGATGGCCCCACCTCAGCCAGGCAGCTGTGATGAGAGGTGTGGATCCAACTGCCTCTTCGCTGGCTCACTGTGTCAGGTGGAAGGGCTGGAGACCGCAGCTGTCTTGCAACAGGGTTAGGGACCCAGGGCCATCCAGAGGAAGGGGACCTCTGGGTGTCAGCCAGACACTAGGTGATGGACAGCACAGGCAACCAGAGAGGGACAGGATCTCGGCCAGGAACAACAGCTCCAGAATCACAGGTGTGCCGCGGAATCTTCCTCCTCTCCCATCCTTAATCGCTCCTGCCTGGTGACAGCACACGGCCAGGCCTGGAGCCCAGCAGAGAGCACCCAGAGAGGAAGTCTCTCTGGGGGCTGGAGACAGTCACACATGCCAGGACTGTGAGCCCCAGATTCTGGTTCATAGCAGGAGACAGACTTGCGAACAAATCACCAGAGCACACTGCAGCACACATTCACCCAGAGTGGGTATCTATGCTAGAGACCGGGCAGAAGGCTCCCTGGGGGAGGTGCTATTGGAACGGGGCCCTGAAAGTGGGTCCCTTCAACAGCTCCCACACAGGCCCAAGTCAGGCCTCCAGCCACGGGACTCACAGATCCCCTCTGTAGGCATCTGCCGGACCTAGAGCAGCCCTTCGCCCCCGGCCGTGCCGGGTCACACGGGCACCACCAACATGGCAAACACTGCCGCTCAGCACAAAAAGGAGTGAAATCCCCCTCTTGCTCTTCCCACAAATGATCAGGTGGGGGTAGGTAAGGGCTGCAGTGTCCGAGGAAGGGTTCCTGTAAATCGAGAGGGGCTGGGCAGACAGGTGCTGCCACACGTGGAGTCGGGGATGGGGCGGGGCCCGCCCAGAGGAGGGCAGCTGCCCCCATGGCTCTGAATCAGGGGCGATCAATGAGGGAAAATTACTGCAGTGATTGAGTTCATACCAGATGATTGTGTGCGTGTGCGTGCCCTCCCTTAAAAAGAGGATTTCTGCGCATTCTTAATTCTGGGACCCTCTCCTTCCCTCTGCAGGAAATCTCTCCTGTGCCTTTAGGTCGGCCCCTCCAAGTTGTCACTTGGGGGTGAAGCCAACAGAGCTGCTCTGGCCTGAAAGCAGATGGGCCTCTGGTCCCTGCCTCCCCCTCCCTTCTCCAACTGACGACAAACACTGGCCTGCCATCATATCCTCCGGGTCCTCGTCTGTTATTCTGGGACACAGGCTGGGGAGGGGTATGCCCCCTCCGGCTGAGACTTGGGACGTGGGCTGGATGAGGGAGAGGCACCCATCCTGCTTGTCAGGCTGGACGCTGCCAGGAGGGCGGGGTGAGGAGGGGCGGAGCTTCCAGAACAAAGGAGAATGGGGAGCCCGGGGGCCCAAGCTAGGCATCAAAAAGCCTCTGCAGCACAAGCAGGCCACAGCAGTGCTGGCCTCTGCGCCCTGCAGTCAGTCAGACAAGGCCGCCTGCTCTTTACTGCTTGTCCGAGGCCGGGCAAGTCAACAGCAGCCTGCTCGGAGAGGCCTCGTGGTCCAGCGTGATTGCGCCGACACGGCTCTGTGGCTTTCTCTTCTTGGCCTGGGTTGCTGCTGAAGTTCCGGAAGGGAGCAGAGGGATGGCTGAGAGCGGAGCCAGGAGTGAGGGAGGCCGCCGGCAGCATGCCTTCGTCCCAGAGCATTTTGACGGTGCCAGTGTCGCCCCAAGCCTCTGGCTGCACCGCTTTGAGGTCATCGACGACCTCAACCATTGGGACCATGCCACCAAGCTAAGGTTCCTGAAGGAGTCCCTCCGGGGAGACGCCCTGGAGGTCTATGGTGGGCTCAGTCCTCAGGAGCAGGGAGACTATGAGACTGTGAAGGAGACCCTCCTGAAGGCGTTCGGGAACCCCGAGGCCGTGTCCAGCCACCTGCCCAAAGAGATCGTCTTTGCCAACAGCATGGGTAAGGGCTACTATCTCAAGGGGAAAATTGGCAAAGTGCCCGTGAGGTTCCTGGTGGACTCTGGGGCCCAGGTCTCCGTGGTCCATCCAAGCCTGTGGGAGGAGGTCACTGATGGCGACCTGGACACCCTGAGGCCCTTTGAGAATGTGGTGAAGGTGGCCAACGGGGCTGAGATGAAGATCCTGGGCGTCTGGGATACAGCAATGTCCCTGGGCAAGATGAAGCTGAAGGCGCAGTTCCTAGTGGCCAACGCAAGCGCTGAAGAAGCCATCATTGGCACCGACGTGCTCCAGGACCATAACGCCGTCCTGGACTTCGAGCACCGCACGTGCACCCTGAAAGGGAAGAAGTTCCGCCTTCTGCCGGTGGGAGGATCCTTGGAGGATGAGTTTGACCTGGAGCTCATTGAGGAAGAGCCCTCAGAGGAGGCGCGGCAGGAGCCCTTCCACTGAGAAGCCCTGTTTCCTGGCCTCCCAGATATTGGTGGGAAGGCACGCCTTTGTGGGGGTGCCTGTCCTCAGGGGAGTCACTGGGCGCGGCTGGCCCTCTAAACCAACTCTTGCTTTCCGCTCCCCTCCCTCTGCAGGGGCCTCAATCTGCCCCTGATGGGGGAGGCTTCTGCTGAAAAGGCTCACGGGAGAGAGGGCAGGCTGGCTTAGTAGGACAGGGTCCCCATGCTCATCAAGCTGCTGTTGGTAGCCAAGACTTGGAGGCTGGAAGAGCTTTCAAAGAAGCTAGAAATGTTTGTCTTTGAGAGGACTGGGGTGCCCCTTCAGACCACCTGAGGCGGGACTTAGTCAACTTCAGGTCCACAAAACCTGTCTCAGCTGGGCTGGGTCCTGGCCACAGGGTCCTGAGGGCCAGTTGAGCTGAGATCCCTGAATCTTCCCACTTGTGCAGTGTGTTTTCCTTCTGTCATTTGCTTTGAAACCCATAGAGCCTGTGCCAGTCATTCAACTGCTTCAAAGACCAATAAAGATTGATTCATGGAAAAGCAATGTAATGTGTTGACTGGGGATGCGTGGACTGTGTGAGGGTGGGGAAAACAAAGAGTCAATGTCAAAGACAAGAAAGATTCAGGTGTTGACTGAGTGTCTCGCCTGGAGATAGGAGAGAGCAAATACAGTGACTATGTATCTTGGATATTTAAAATATTTTGACGACTTCTCTCCATAATTCCTCTCATCATTTCAAATCTAGTCATAATCTCTCTAATTTTTCAAATCGGTAATAGGTCAGCATCCAAATTTCCCTTTACACCCAACTTACATAAGTTATCTGCCAGTTGACTGGGGACTGGAAAATTATGGTTATTATGAACAAACGGGACAGCATCTGCTGAGAACATAGTTCTGGGAGCCAGAACTTGGAGGCGAGGCAGAAAGCAAGGCCAGGAGACAGGTGCTGACCTGTGTGGGGCAGCCCCCGAGGGCACTCTGGAGGGTGGGGGGAGCGGTGGCCGTGGGGGGCTCCGCCAGCTTCGGGGAGCATTGGGGGCTCCAGCTCACGGATGGCCTATTCCTGGAGGGACTTGGAAGGGAGCCTGAAACTGGAGTCCTGATGAAGGGGAGGACATTCCCAGATGCAGGATGGGGTGTTCCTCTCTTTTAGGGGCCACTTCATGTTTGCTTCAGAGTTCCTGCCTCTTCCTCTGAAACTCAGCAGGGCTGAAAAACCTCCTGCCCAACAGGAGAAGCTGAGTGGACAGAGATCTCAACAGAGGAACAGACCTCAGGCCTCCCCGGCAAGCGCCAGGGGAGCCACTCTTGGGCGAGGACAGCCCCAGCTGCCAAGCTGACCTTGGGCCCAGAATGACTGACCCGAGGCCGGAGACAGACATCGAGACCTGCGGGGAGACTGGAGAGCAGGACTTCGAGAGCCTCTTGGAGTGGGGCGTGAAGGACCATTTTCGCCTCCAGTGTGGAATGAGCCTCTTCTGGAAGTTTCCACCTGGACCACTCCTGAGGGGGAGAGAAACAGTCTGAAGGGGAGGTGAGAGGGAGGGCCCTGGACTTCTTGAAGCCCCCCTGGGCCTGGATCAGGTGCCCCTCTCTGATCCTCTCCTCCCTCAGCGTCCAGCTGTGTTTCTCCTAGAAACCGATGCACGGCTCAGCCCCCGAGCCCCAGGGTTTACCGAAGCCCCGTCCCTGGGCAGCCAAGCATCTTCAGTGGAATGAGCTCCGCCAGCCCAGGGCACACGGAGGAAAGGCCAGGGGTGGGATCAGAAGGACGTGTCCTTCCAGGAGGGTGAGGTCTGGCGAGGGGGCTGGGAGAACTGGAGAAGGAGCTGGTCCCCAGGTGCCTCCCAGGACCCATGTCCCCCTTCCATCTGCGGGCCCAGCACATGTGGCTGCTTTCCTAGGCCAAGCCCTCACCTGAGGGAACAGCCCAGGTGGTGCCTCTCTGTGACCTATTTTCCTCTAGGTCCTTAGATCTTAGCCACGAGCTGGGTGGCAGGAGGGAGGGTGAAGAGTGGGTGAGTAGGTGGGTGGGCAGGTGGGGAGGGAACCGAGGAACTGGGTGGCCAGAATTCCAGGGCAACAGGCAAGCCATCCCCTCCCTGCCCTTCCCCACACACCGCAGGGAACTGAGCCCGGTCCTGGGTGATGGCGGACGGGATGCTTGCCTGAGCCTCTTTTCCAGAGGAAGGTGAGCACCCTGAGTGGGCCTGGCAAGGGGAGGGATCCTCGGCGCCCAAAGCATGGATCTCTGGAGGAAGAAACCACACGGCACTTCTTACCTGGAGGCTGAGTGAAACTAAGACAGGTGCTGCGTGGGTGTGAGCATGAGCACAAGCACACACGCGTGGGGAGCCAGAAATCAAAGGGCGAGCTGGGGGGAGAAGCTGGAAGAGCTTTTGGCCACAATCCAGAGGGCTCGCTGCCCAGGTGAGGCTTGGAACCCAGCTTACACGGCGGCGTCTTGCACCGTGGAGGAGTGGAAGTCTCGTCTGGTTTCTGAGCAGAGGGTGGAGTAAGGCTGCATCTGGGGTGATGCGGGATCCGTGGAAAGGTTTAACGTTGGCAGCGTGCTAGAATCACCCAAGAAGACCCATGAATGCCAGCCCCTCCTGTGGCCCCATGTGCGGCAGGCTGGGGAACCCTGGTCTAAATCCCAGTGGTATCTACTCCCTTTCTATCCAAAGGGTGTTCTGCAGAAAGGCAGCATCAGCATCACCTGGGAGCTTTGTGAAGATGAGGTCTCGCTGTTAGTCTGGCCAGTCTTGAATTCCTGGGCTCAAGTAATCCTCCCACTTTGGCCTCCCAAAGCACTGGGAGTACAACTGTGAACCACCACGCCCAGGCAAAATGTGATGTTTTTTTGTGGTTAGAGTCAGGTAATACGTTTTGGACAGAAATACCCAGAAGGCATGGTGTGTCCTCAGCATCTCATATCAATTTCATGTCATATCAGTTCTTTGCAAAATATTAATTCATTTCAGAGTCTCAATCCCCAGCCAGACCTGCACCAGAATGTGTATTGAACAAGACCCCTAGGCAATTCTCGTGCATAAGAACATTTGAAATGCCCTGGCCTAGAACATCCTAATACCTCTAGTTAATGGACAGCTCATGGCCCCCACAAAATGTCCCCTTTTCTAATAATAACCACCACACACTGAATGCCTGCTAATTCCCCAGTGCATGCAGATAATTCTTCATACCTTTAACTTGCAAACCTTTATTTTAATTTGTCTTAATTTCAGACTTATAGAAAAGTTACAAGAACATTTCAAAGAATTTCCATGTTTTACAGTTTCTCCAAACATTAACTTTTTACCAATTAACTTTATCATTTCTCTCATACTTATTCTTTCTCTGTATCTATATATGTGAACCTTTGAAAACTGCAAATATGATGCACTTTAACAACATTTTTTGTTTGTTTTATGAGACAGGGTTTCATTTTAAGAAACAAGGTGGCCCAGGCCAGTCTTGAACTCCTGGCCTCAAGTGATCCTCCTGCCTTGGCCTCCCAAAGTGCTGGGATTACAAATGTGAGCCACCATGCCCAGCCAATGCACTTTTATTTCTAAGTACTTCAATATGTATGACCTTAAAAAAACAAAGATATTCTCATATAACTATGATATAGCTGTCAAAATCAGGAAGTTAACATTAAATAATACTGCTACTATCTACTCTTCAGACTGTATTCAAATGTTCCCAATTATTCCTATAATAATCTTTATAGACCACCAACATTATTTTCTTATTTATTTCTATTTTATTTTATTTTATTATTTTTTTTTTGAGTTGGAGTCTCACTCTGTCGCCCAGACTGGAGTGCAGTGGCCGCTCCCGGCCACCGCAGCCTCGACCTGCTGGGCTCCGGCGATCCTTCCGCCTCAGCCTTCCAAGTAGCCGGAATTAC